ACACACACACACACACACACACACACACACACACACACACACACACAGTCCCTCCTCTTCCTCAAGCCAAGCCGATGCCACAAGTGTTTTACAGTTAAGAAACATTTTGCCCTATGTCCAGACAAAGCACTTACTCTCATGTCCACACAACCACATGGAGAGCAGCACGTAGGAGAAGCCCGGAAGAAACTTCTGCCAGACTTCCTCACTTGCCCAAGCAGCCTCATTCTAAAAATACTCAGGGACTGATCAAAATGAGGCTGTGAAAACCACCCCAGGTACAGCTTGGTGGAGCCACTGCTCTTGATCTTGCGCCGGTGATGAGTTTACCACACACACTCAGTCACTGCAGCCAGCCTCTGCGGGATGGTTTGCAAAACTTCGCACGCATCACACAAGGCAGGTTAAAAGGAAAAAGTAAAAAGAGCAAGCAAGAGATGCACTGAGATTTTTAGCTCTGTTGCTGGCAACCAGCTGGTCTCAAATTTTTTTTTTTTTTTTTTTTTTTTTTTAAATAAAACTGTACGTATACATATACACACACACACACATATATATATACACATACATATGGATACGTAAACTATCAAATTCATCCCATAACTGCATTGCTCAGAAGCTCAGTTTTTAGTAACATGGGGAAATAGATGGAGGGGTACCCACCCATGCAGCTGAGAATCAAGGAAGTATTTGAATCCATAAAAAAAGAAAGATTTTAGGAGAGAGCTGGTCTTGATTTGCACAGATGAGACGCTTTCTAACACGTTCCTCCCCCCATCCACACACAGCACACACGCACACAAAAGAAAAGTTGATGCATTTCAGTTTCTGTCCCATCACTTAAGCACAGATCCACGGCGCTGCCTTACCATTCCCGCACTCAGGCAGTGATGAGACTTTGCTCAGAGGTGCAAGGTCCGCCGCGCGCAGCCGCACCTATTCCTCCCAGCAACCTGGGCACAACACGGCCGCCTCCAGCACCCTCCTGGCTGCGTGTTTGCCGAGCCCAGCGCTGAAGTCATACGTACAGAGAGCCCCATTTCCTTTCTGTACGGCTGTGACTTATGTAAAATGCAGTTCCTGAATAGGCACACCGAAATAGAAATTGCTCGCCGCTTAAGCGACATCCTGCTCTTGTTTCAGATGCTACAGCAGGCCAGCTTATACTGCCTGGAAATATTCTAGTTTCACATCTCCCTCCTTTCCTAGGAGCTGCTCAACACGCAGCCTGCAGCACGCCCAGGTTAAATACTGATCACTGTACCAAAGAACTACTGACAGTGCTTGCTGTGGCCAAACTGTCCCATTTCAATAAAATTAGCTGAGCTATTGCTCACTGTAACAGCCTATAGGATCCCAATTTACAGCTAACCCCAACTTCCTCTCCTTTGTAGTGTTCATTCATATCAAGGGCATAGGTTAGTGCTCTCTCTCTTGCCTTTTCCATCTAAAGATATTGAAAATAAAGAGCAGGATCTAATTTTAAACACTACAGCCCGTGCCTAATTTACCTCCATTTCCCAAATCTGTGCTCAGCACCTTAAGTGGTAGCTTCAAGAGCAGCACCCTCAAGCCAGAGTGCATAAAGAGCAGGTCACAAAAGAGTCAGCTCTCAATCTAATAATCTAACAAGACAGGATTTCCAGCTTTCCTAATTACTCTGGCAGCTTTAAACACACTAGAATTATTCAACATCCTCCACACACGACATCCTGGCATTTTCAGGCAACCCCTCCGATTCCCTATTCCCCAGTTTTTGCATCCTGGACAGCAGCACTATAATATGCAATCTCAGTACATCTCAAGCTCATTTGTCCTTTCATTGGTGGTGGATTTCATGACGTGCCAAGATGCACACATTTACTGCCTGAGGTGAGCATGTTCTTCAAAGTCCAGAAGGTACCTAAAGCACTGCCCTTTGAAGGTGGCACTAATTACTATGAAAACAGCAGTACTGTTTCCTTTGTTTTAGAGACACATAAAATAGATTAACAGTCAAGGTTTATATGCTGGAAGGAACCATTAGGATCATTTTGCATAAACCTCTGCATAACATAGGCATAAATTTCAACAAGTACTCATCCCTTGTGCAGAATAAGTGAATGCCACAATTTTATCACCAAAGGACATTTAAACCATCACTCCACATTGAAGTCCTGAGGATCCTAGTTCTCCTGGTGAGCCCTTTCCATAGCCAACTACCCTTCCAGCTCTTGGAAGAAGGCCAGCTGCCATTTTCCTTTTCCAATCTCTTTCCTTTTGTAGTTTGACTCATTTTCTATTCAGTTTCAAGCTTTAAATATCTGTAATCTTTCAAACAAGAACTGTATGAAGAAACAGAAGGATGAAATAGGTACAGGTGAGCTTACAGCAAACCTGGAGTCTCATCAGTGCCTTGCACTGTTTTTTCCTCCTTTTCATTGTTAGAGCAAAGAGGAACCAAAAAAAAAGACAATTTTAACATGCTGCGTATTCTCTTCTTTCTCAAATTTGAAATACATGTACATTTTCTTTAATCAATTCAATTTAGTCAAGAAAGTCAATAATATTGAACTGTTACAGCTTAAGACCTAGGAGGAAAAAAGATGGTTACACACCTTTCCTGAAGCTGCACTCAGCCTGCCCTGGCCTCATCTAGACTCATCTGGTGAAGGGACCTTCACAGCTGTCCCACCAGAGGATGTCTTGGGCTGGCACATCCTGTGTCTGTGAGGGACTATATCACAACCATAACAGTGGTGGCTCTTCCATTATGGAAAAGCACATGCCCACATGCTGCCCAGGCCTAGGAGAGTAGAAACGTGTCTCACAGTCACCATATATGCAAGATCTCCTTCCTCCTCAGGCACGTCGCCCAAGAATGCCAGAGATGTTCCACCAGCACCAGGCAAGTCCTACCACGAGTTAAAGCTGCCAGTAATGGCTGCACAGGTAACACAATCCTGCTATGGTGGTTTTAACTAGCTGTGCACGTAGGCATTCCTCCTGCTGACACACACAGGTAACAACTCCCTGGATCCTGCATCAACACGCTCAGAGAAGGCAAGCTGGAGATGAAAACAAGAGCATGCTCAAAGCAAACAAACAAAACAGCTGGCTGTGTTTGCATGGCTTGTGAAACCCACCATTGCGATCGTATCACTCCTTAGGCCACAGGGCCACGCAGGGCCTCGGTAACCAGGGAGTGGTGCTCTTTGAGTAAGGCATCCCAAAGCTCAGCTGCAGGCATCAAGGTTTTGGGAGGCAGCTGCATGTAGCACAACGCATTGCCTACAGCAATGGGGATAAGAGCAATGCCAGCACCCTCCTCAACCAGATGGCATGTTCCATAGCTCCACAAAAGATGCTGGCCATACATTCCACACATACCCTGTCCTCACTTTCCCTGTCCTCTGTCTAGCACACAGATGCTTTCAAGATGACTCAGAATCTACTGTTAGAGTTGATGTGGCCTGGGCCTGAAACAGCCCTTCCAAGAAGAAGAAAATGCTCCACACCCACCAGGACAGATCACAATTCCTAGCACATCAAGTGGATGGCACTGCTGGGGTGTGAACCACTGACTGTCAGGGCCATCATCCTTCTGGCCTGCCTGGTGACCTTTGCTCTGCAGGGAAAAATCAGGTGCTAAAGGACTGTCAGCAGGTGAGTTGGCATTTCCTCGGTGATCACTCAACAGCATCACATCATCCCAGCTCTACTGGACCTGAGAATTTCACAAGGCAAGCACAACCCCAAGCACAGGCTGATAGAAGGCACCCAGTGGCAGCAACTGTGAAATAAGGTTCATAGGATCAGAGCTAAAGAAGATCTCAGCGCCATCACTGATTCCAAAGGCAATAAAGCTCATCTGCGTGCTCACATGTTTGTGGACCTTTTCTTTCCCCTCAAGCTTCATCAAGCACTATGTAGCATTACAGCAGAAAAACCAGCACTAAGAACTAAAGCCTATTTTTCGTCTTGTCCCCTTCTCTTGAGAAACCCAATCTGTTCACTACTTAGTCATTTTAAAACATTTGAAAATGCTTTGTTAAAAGGAAATTCAAACCAATTTAAAGTTCTCTCTGTTAGCCAGACCTTGAAAATCTGGTACGAGAGCAGGGCAATGGATGCACCAAGCCTAACATTGTCACAGCCTAAAGGATGCTGCTGACCACAAACAACCGTGACTGCAGGCCCCATCAGCAAGTTCTCCAAATGCTCAACTTTTAAACCAAGGAGCTGGAGTCAAATCCACTGTGCAGTGCACAGTTTCAGGAAACAAAACTGAATTATGCAATAAAGCAAATGCAGAACACCTGCGGAATGTGGAATATCCCAGTCCCCTGTGATCAGACAGCTTAATGAATTAATTGTACAGAAAGGAATTTTTTTTTTTATTATTCCCTGGGAGCTTTTTTTTTGTTGTTGTTGTTTTGTTTTGTTTTTTTAAATACAACTGTGGAAGCTGAATACACACAAGTATCAGAAGTCTGCTGTATTAATTACTTAGCAGAGTGACTTCCTTCCCAGATGGACAGCTTTCTTGCATACATTTTGTGGTGCCTGATGTCACCTTGCCGACAAGCCTGAATCCCAGGAGAGCTCCAGCAAAGGAAAGGCTCCCTGAAGCCAGGTGGCTCCACACATCATAAGCACATGGTAGACAACTCCAATTACTTGCTTGCAGGCAGGGAGCCCTCCCTAGGAAAGTACAGCTTCAAGTGTTAACCTTTAAAGCAAAAAAGATGTTAGAGCCAAATTGAAAACTAGGATTTCAGAGGCCCTTGCTATGAGCACCAAGGAAGCTCCCCATTGCCACCTACAAGATGAGCTTGTAACCTCAGGTTTTAGGTTGCACTCAATACTAAGGATTTCTGCTGAGACAGAACAAAACTGATGTGGGAAGCAGTAGAGGGGTCCAACGTATGGACCTTGATCTCACTTGAGTATTGTGACCCAGAACAGCCATTTACAAGCCAAGAAAAACCAGGGTTTGCAAATATCTGACAGTTTTTCAGCTATGCCGTCATCTCCTATACTCCTGAAAATCCACCTCAGAAAGGGAAAAAAAAAAAGAACAATAATCACCTGCCAGTCAACCAAGCCCTACAGAAATCATTGCGATTGCAAAAGCTTAGCAGTCACACACACGCTCACGGGGCTGTACCTGGACTGCTTTTTTGGTGGCGGCGGTGGTGGTGCAAACTCCACCCCATTGCTCTTGTCCTTAGGGAAGTCAAAGGAGAAAGATAATGACTTGCTGATCCCAGCCTGACTCTCCAGCACTGGGCAGTCTTCCACAAGGTCAGCGCCAGCCCTTCCATTCTCAGCTCCCACTGCCCATGGGTGGGTTGAGAGCTCCTGCTCTTCCTCTTCTTCCTCCTCTTCCTCTTCCTCTATCCGGCACTGCTTGGCCCATGTAGGGGTGTAGTATTTCTGCCTTCTGTCATAGGGTGAGCCTGCCAGGCTTCTGCTGGACTCTTCCACAGAAATCCCATTAACGTGAGTGCATGGAGAAGAAGATGTCCTGAAGGTACCTGTATCCGCACAGCTCCTTGGCAGCTGAGCCCCAGCTCCATCCTGACTACTGGTGTCACCAAGCTTTGTCACAGAGGAACTGACTGGGGATACATGGCTTTCCTCACTGCCCTGCTGGCTGTTTTTGGACATCTTTGGGGGGATGGCTGGGCTCTCCATAACTGTGTTTTTGGTAGGAGCTGCCAAGTGAAACCTTGGGCCATTTTCACTTCCAGATGCTTGAAAAATCTCTCCAGGCTCGACAGCGGGTGATGAAGTCCCAAAGTCAGGGTGGGAAGCAGGGCTGACACATGGCCATTGAACGCCCACAGCAGAGTCAGGGCTGCTGAGAAATATTGTCTTGTGGTCATCCTCCGTGTGCGCAGCCATAATCGTTATCTTTGCTGCCACTTGGGCTGTGGAGTCCTGGTGCTCCTTTTCAGCACCCAGCAGCCAGCTCCCATCCCTCCACGTGCCATCGGCCTGCTCCTTGCCACCGGCCAGCTTCTCTGCATCCACACATCCACCAACCCCCTTCAGCTGGGCTTTTTTCCTCTTGGTGCTCTCGGCATAGATGGGATCCCCACGGGCCGGCTCAGTGAGGCGGGCACGCTGCGGCTCCACCAAGGCCTGCTGGGGAGCGTTCAGTCCCTCAGGCCTGGAGCCTCCATCCAGGTCTCTGGGGAGAAGCAAGTCATCCTTCTCCCGGCACGGCGCTGAGGCAGCCATCTTGCTGCTGCTCTCAGGGAGGGCAGCAGTGTCAGACTGACGGGTCGGCTTTTTACTCTCTGCACACAAGGTGTAGGGGAGCAGATCGCTCCGCTCCTTCGCTATGCAGAAGGCCACATTCACAGCCCTGCGCTCCTCCTCACTGAACTTCGCCGCCCTGCCACTCAGCCTGGAGAGCTCCACAGTATCCCTCTGCCTCCAGCTGCGGGGAGCCAGGCTCTCTCTGTGGGACTCTGCGATCGAACAGTACTCTCCCCCTTCCCCTTCGACACCAGAGCAGAGGCGGCCACAGTCACCCTCTGGGGGTGAAAGGTTTCTGCCAGAGCTCACAACACCTCTGTCCCCCAGATTAGGGCAGAGGGGCCGATGTGACAGGGCAGACTTGTCCTTGGCTCTTTCCTCTTGCTTGCCCACCTCGCCCACCAGCACCAAGCTGTGGATGGAGACGTTCCTCTCCACGTGGCTCTCCAGGCCACGCAGGCCCACCATGGAATAGCTGGGCGTGCAGCAGGACAGGCAGTCGCGTGGTGGGCTGTGCAGGAAGGGTTTTCTCACGCCGCTGGCTCCAAACCCATCGAGGCAGATCCGCTGTGAGTCGCTTGACTTCAGAAGGAGATGTTTACCGGAAACCATTCCCCAGCCAACCTGCGCAGGCCAAAGAGACAAGCGTGCTATCAGCACAGCAAAATGAAAGAGAAAGCTACACAAGAAAAAGAACCAAAGGAAAGTTTACCACCATTCACAGCCTGTTCTGTGCTGTGCTCACCCACTGATGTCTCCTGTGAGGCTTTCCTACTTGTCCTGCTTCCCGCACCACTTGCATTACCAACAATGGCAATGCACTGGAGAAAGGCAACCTCCTTTCTCTTTGTATAGGTTCACTGCCAGAAACATGTCCAACCTGTCATCCTGTCTGTGAGTCACCATGCAATTAAAGATTCAGAGAGGGAAGGAGTATTTGCGCTTTCCTCTGCTATTTTCGCTTCATTTCACACCGCTGCTCCAGAGCCAAATTCTCTGGAGCACAGACACTATAGACTTTCCTTTCTGTCATAGATTTTCCTGTGACAGCAGCTTGGTGACACCCAGCAGGAGGGACTGGGGAGTAGAAGGAGGAACATATCTGAAATCTCTTCACCTGAGAGAGATTTACACCAATTGGGTCTCACAGCATTGCTTCCCAGAAGTGAGGGAAAAAAATTCACTAAAGTTCCTCTGCCTCAAGACCGTCAGACTTAACTCAGCTCAGTTCTTAAGATGGAAAGCCAAGGAAAAAACTGGATGTGTAGTACCTGCCAACCCATGGCCAGGCTGCAGCAGCCCTGTTCCTCCATATCACTAGCTATCCACGAGGCAGTCAGGCTATGGTTTCTGGGACACCAAGCTCTGCGCATGGCCTGAGAGCAGAAGATTCTGAGGCAGGAGGGGACCATTCCCACACCTCACATGTGCCTCCTGCAGTGACACTCAGCTGTAGCCCAAGGACTTCTTTCCAGTAGTTTTTTTCTAGGAAAGTAACTAACCCACGTGCTCATTTAAGTTCCTATGTATGTTTTTAAGCTCCTTTGCACTCACAAGCAATGTTTAATTCCGCTTTAGCCAAAGATAATTTGGGAAACCAACACAGCTCTATAAACCTGAGTCAAGACCAAAAGGAAAAGCAGTGAGAATGGAACGGTTTTATCAGATCCTCCTAGTGTTCCTGAGCGGAGGTAAGTAATGGGAAGTCATGCTTTGACTGGATTAATCATTACCTGTGACAGATCTGAATTCATATTCACATCCGCCCACGTGTCAGAAACATCTGAGTTGATCATAGTTGGCTTCACAGCAATGGTTGGCTTGGAGAACACAGAGGTATTTACGCCTTCGTCTTCCAACGCTGGGCTCTCGGGCTTGCTCCTACCTCCATTCGGGAGCACGCCGCATGCTCCCACGTCTGGGGGTGTTTGCAGCCGATGGGAACTCTTTGGGTTGAAGCAGTTTTTACAGGAGCCAGGCTTCCACACGTGTTCCACAAAGTCACTGCACGCAGACATCTTCAAATCCTGGAGGCTCAGAGCAAGAGCCCAACGCGTCTTCTACACTGTCCTCCGCTGTTCATTTTGCAGTTGCTTTTAAGGTCACCAAGTTATCTGGAAAGGCACAGCACTGCCTGGTTAGTTTCAGTATCCACAAAACAGAAAGAAAAAAAGAAATGGAATGATCTTTAATAGGACAGGTGATAATTACACTCATTCTGCCCTCGTCACAAAGGCACATTGTTTACAAGGCTTTCTTCACAGCTTAGCTAAAGCCCACACAATCACTTAAAAAGCCTCAACTTCTAAGCATAACTCTGCAAGAGAGAAGACATCAAACAAGCAGCATTCCTACATGATTTAATTCCCTGTTTAATGAGCATGCAGAACCAGCCTCACGCAAGGCTTAGATCAAGGGGAAGGGGAAGAGGTCTTGGAAGAGCTGCTCACAGCCTTGCAGAGCAGAGCCAGGTGGGAAAGGTTTCCTTCCCAAAGTGACATCCTCTCTCTGGAAAAAAGCATGGAGATAAAATCATAGAATCATTAAGGTTGGAAAAGGCTTCTAAGACCGTCAAGCACAACCGCCAACACACCCCCACCATGCCCACTAACTGCCCCTCAGTGATACAGGGACCAGAGTCGGTGACTGTAACCAAGGGGACTGACAACAACTGTCCTTCATCCAGAAGCACCACTGTGGTTCCTGCAGCTGCACACAAAGGCTTCTCTCCCAGCCAGACGAGCAGCAGGGCTGGGGCTGGCACTGATTGCAGCAAGTGCCTGGCAGAAAGCTCGCATCCGCTCTGCCAGGAGCCACAAATAACAGTGTCAGCTTGCTGAAACGATTCATTGTCTGCAAAGGGAGAAGCGCTTTGCTCTTGGATTACTTACAGACAAGGATGCCTTCCCATCTTCCTTCCCCAGGAGGAAATGCCCCAGGAGGAAGACATTCCTGCATTCCTATGCCCCCTCCCTGCACGGCCAGATCTGATTGCGTTCAGTCAGTAGCTATCTACAGCTAACAACTTTGGAGATACTTCAGAGATGACTCCCACAGAGCTCAGTGGATTAGAGAAGAAAAGATCAGAAAACGCAACTGGACCAGGAAAACTGCAGCTGGCTGCTGTGAGCGCCCTGCCACAGAAGCACCCCGTGTCGCTCTGGGGTTCTTCCCTGCATCACCAACCTCAGGGCACCAGCTCCTAGCCAGCAAGCTGGTGCTTGCAAATCAACCAAACCAAGATTCCTTCAAGGGTCTCCAAGGGCACGTGCACTTTCCATCCGTAAACCAACAGCACCAAAGTAAATCTTACCACCTGATCCTGCCAGGCTCTCACCATGCAGACACAACACTATGGCTACAGGCAACTTCGCACCTGTACACCTTCAGAACCAGATGCGCTTCTGTCACACTTTGATCCTCTCTGGATACAGCACGGGCACTTGGCTCCCAGATGGAAAGGGGGGAGAGCCAGTAAGAACTCAGGGGGGACAAAGCAAATGGGAGAAACACTGGCCCAAAAGCATCAGCTGAATCCAGTTGGCCCCCCTGTTAAGGGGGCTCCTACTGCTTAAGGTACCTGCAGGCTGGTGCTGTCAGGCAGGCTGATAAATTGACAAAAAGGAAATCAATGAGATTCACAAATCAGATAGGAGGATGTCTCACTCTTTACAGAGAAGAGACTGTTTTAGGCAGGTTTTTCCGTAGATTTCACAGACTCCAATCACTTTTAGACACACACCCAACACCTCATGCTTCTACAAAATTCACATTATTTGCCAGGGAAGAACAATGACAACAAAATCCCACATCTTTTTAAACATGACCGCACTCTCACTTTGTTTCCTTTCAGATGCAGCAAGCAGCAACCAGCCCTCCATCAAGCCGGGGATTGCCTTCAGATGTGGGCTGCTCACCAAGTCAGGGGGCAATGATCCAAGCGCCCCATTATTCATTTTATCCACCCGACCGAGAAAAGAAAAATTAACGTGCTACGATGCAGGGATGCTGAACGCCGGGAAGGCAGCCGGGAAGTTCGCAGCTCTAATGGCTCCTGCATCACGCGAAGGTAGTTAGCAAGTGTCCTGATGGGAGATAGCAACGGGGGAGGGAAAAAAAAAAAAAGCAAAAAAAAAAAAAAAAAAAAAAAAAAAAGCACCACACAAAGGAAAGGCAGGGAGCGGAGTCGGGGAAAACCCCTCATTCCCGGCCCACAGCCGGCGCTGCGCCGCTCAGCCCGGGATCCCCTTCCCGCAGCCGAAGCAACGTTCCCAGTCGGAGGGCAGTAGGAGTCCGGCGCGGCTCGGATGCGCCCCACAGGGTTTCATCGGAGCGAGGATGCTCCGGCCACGAGGTCCCCCCAGGCGCCGACCTGCCCGAAGTTTCCCGAGAGGACGCTTCGCCCCCACCCCCCAGACTCCATTGAGGTCTCCCCGAGCCCGGCTTTGTCCCGGCGCTGCCCGCCCCCGGCCCCGCCGCGCTCACCGCGCTCCGCTCCGCACTGCCGCCGCCGGGCGACTGCGAGCGCTGCTCCGCGTGGGCCGGGGGTAGCGGCCGCCCCGCCCCGATCCGCCCCACCTCACCCTACCCCACCCCGCCGGGAGGCAGCGGGAGCGGAGCTCCGCAGCCCACCGCCGCCTCCGTGCTGTGCGGTTGTGAGCGTTTCAGCAATTCGGGATCTGAGGAGTAGGGCTGCAGGGAAAGGAAAAGCCTCCCCGCACAGCTCGGGGCTCTCCATGCTCTGCTTTTTCCAGATCCACATGTGATCGGTTACTAAAACAGCCCAGAAACGCCACATTAAGAGAATCGCAGGAAAACACGGGATTCCTCCGCTTCACTTGCCACATTGCTATAAAGAAGTCTGCCCAACACACCTCCCACTTCGCCTTTCAAGCAAAGCACTCATTTGCTCACCACCAATTCACTGCATCTCTTTGCAGTGCCAGTGCACTCACTCAAATGAGTGCATTCACTCTCAGAAACACATTAATCATGACTGAAACCTTCTTTCTAGCCATGTTTCATCTGTGCAAAGGGAAAGTCACCCTGGAAAGTCATCAGCACCACCTAGGTTACACACCTGAGGATACAGGTGCCTCAATCACAAAGGTTTTCAACTGGACCCTTGTCCCAAGTCAATGGAGCTGGAGCATTTCAGAGCTGCCAGGAGCCTGTGTGCTCACTGCCAGTTTCCCTGGCAGCTCCCCGGGTCTGGCTGGCACATCCATCCACAGCTGGAGATTGCCATAGAAAATGACAGTCCCCATCTCTGGGGTAGACTGTCCTGAGATGTCCACCCCAGGTGGAAAATCCTTTCCCATGCCAGAGGCTTTGGGGTTACAAATTAGTGAAAATTCATTTGTTCCAGTGAAGTCATAGATTCATTAAGGTTGGAAAAGACCTCTAGGTTCACCGAGTCCCCACCATGCCCACTGACCACATCCCTCAGTGCCACATCTCCACGGTTCCTCATCACCTCCAGGAATGGTAACACCACCACCTCCCTGGGCAGCCTGTGCCACTGCATCACCTCTTTTCGAGAAGAAGCGTTCCCTAATATCCAATTTGAATCTCCCTGAGGGCAACTTGAGGCCATTCTTTCTCATTCTAAAGTCATTTTCTTCTTATGTCCAAAGACAAGGAAAACAGTGCACCCTCACATTTTCAGAAAACTATTGTTGTTCAAGGACTGAAATCAACGATGACAGCTTTTTGGGTGGCTGTAATCTCCCATGATTTTTTTTCAATACAGCGTTCAGTGTTGTTCATGATGGCATTTTATCAATGGCCAAGAATTGCAATATTGAGGCACGTATACTTGGAACTGGCCTTTCTGTGCACCCTGTACCTTCTCCCACTCCATTTTTTCCGTTTGCCATGCCCCTTTTTGCAAGCTCCCACGCAGCATTTCTCCTCTCCCTTTCTTGCAGAGGTGTGTGGGCTGACCCATTCCCAAGGTTTCTCCTTGGCCCTATGGATGTTCCATCTCGTAGGAAGAATGTACCCTGGGACCAGGATACGTAGGTACCAGGATCCAAAAAAGTCCTAAAATCCGAACCCCTATAAAAACGATCAGCCTTATTAGCCAAACCCTAATGTAGTCTCAGAACCACCCACCATGGGAATGAATCACTGACCACATCTGGAGGTTCACAGTGTAGACAGAGACCATCTACCTTATAGAATCTCAACCACTAACAAAATCCCATGCAGAACCGACAGCCCCGTGCCCATTCACGACTGGCACAGTGATGCCTTTGCTTGGGGGGCTGCAGCAAAGGGGGGCTGTTTTCTCCCTGCCGAAGAGCAACAGTGGCTGCTAAGAAATCACAGATAATGGCCCTTTTGATGGATGCTCAGCTTGTGCTTTTGGGATGCAGCAGTCGTGGAGGGGCTGGGAAGGGGGAGGCAGTGCAGAGGCGTATGACAGTGCTGATAACAAGTGGGCTTTGTGTGTTGTGCTCAGGGCACCCACAGCTGCCCCGGCCTCCTCTCCCACCCGAGGTAGAAGAAGAGCACTTCATCTGCAAACAGCCAAGCCGCCAACCGGCTGTGTCCTCCATGCCACTCACAGCTGCTATTAAAGTGGGTGACAATGGGAGCACCGGTCCCCCCGAACCTAGTTAAACTCCACTTCCACAGGAGAGGGAAGAATGAACCACACTGGGGAGCAAGAGCAGGCGTGCATGCAGGTGCTGAAAGCTGGCAGCCAAACAAAGGGAGATCCTGGGGGCAGATACGGGTGCGTGCAGGCTGAGGTGCTCAGCAGCACGGCTGTCTGGGAGCAAGAGCAAAGGCGAACATATAGGGGGTAAAGGAGCCAAATTGTACTTGATGGGAAGAAGAAGCACCAGCGATGAGGCACAGCTGCTTTGTTTAACCCCAGGATCCCACAGTTGGGGAATAATGGGTCCAGCAAAGCTGGTGAATTGCCCTCGATCGTACTCAGGCCATATGCTGGGCACCTCCCGAGCAGTTTATTGGGCAGCCAACCCACCAGGCTCTTCCCAGCCCCATCACAGAGCTGCCTCATCCCCCATGCTCTGAATTTTGGGCAGTGCTGTGTGGAGCCGGCAGTTGGATTTGATGGTCCTTGTGGCTCCCTTACAACTTGGGATATTCTATGATTCTGTGATGATCCCAGCGATACTCAAAGAGCATCACTAGGTCTGGAGAGCCATTGCCATGGAAGGAACAGACACGGGGTGCTGCAGGAGAGCAGTTCCCTGTCTCTCTCCAATACGACTTGTTTTTTCTCTTGCTCCCCGGTGGTGTTTGGTGTTCACAGGCACTGGGAAACATTCACTTCTTGCACGCCTTCCAATGGAGCGTGGGAAAAGCTCTCACCCGAAGCAAAAAAACACGGGAATTTGCTTTCAAGTCTATTCTTCTCACTCCCTTTCTCTCCAAGTGAAAAGCCCTGAGCTGGCTTTTTTCTTTGCAAGGCAAGTTTTCTGGCCAAGGCAAACCACTGTTTGTCTCTCATGCTGTCAGCAGGGTGACAGGC